GTAGTAGTGGTAGTAGTAGTAGTAGTAGTAGTAGTAGTAGTAGTAGTAGTAGTAGTAGTAGTAGTAGTAGTAGTAGTAGTCGTAGTAATAGGAGTAGTTGTAGCAGCAGCAGCAGCAACAGCAGCAGCAGCAGCAGCAGTAGTAGTAGTAGTAGTAGTAGTAGTAGTAGTAGTAGTATGTGGAGGAGGAGGAGTTGGAGGAGGAGGAGGAGGAGGAGGAGGAGCAGCAGCCGCAGCAGGAGGAGGGAGGAGGAGGGGGAGAGGGGGGTGATATCAACATTTGGAGCATGCGGATTGGGAGTGGGATACTGAGCATCGAGGGAAGACGTAAGGATGGGCGAGGGGAGGGGGGGAGGGCGGGGAAGGAGAAGGAGAAGAATAATAAAGAGAAGCCAAATAACGAAATCTCACTCAAACGCGAGCGCCCAATGGGCCTGCCATCCAGACGAGAGTCCCGCTTCGAGAAGAGATGTGCCGTGCATCTTTCTTAGCGGCTCAAACGGGAGTGCGACAGCTACGGTCATAACGTTTGGTGGCGATGGGACTAGCGAGAGCCCCGTTCTGAAGAGGAGCCCCCCCCTACCTGTGCAGAACATGCGTTCAAGCTTCTGGCCGTTCAATGAGAGGAAGTCGCTAGCGACAGCCCCATGTCGAAAAGGAGCCTTTGTTCATAATTCAAACACGTGGTTGGAAATTAATCGGGATGTGCGCGTTGCCAAGGCGAGAGCCCCATTTTGAAGCGCACCGCCTTCAATCCACGTGAATAGTGAATAAGTGTAAGCCATCAGGCGAATATGCGTAGTGCTAAGACGCGAGTCTCATTTTCAAAAAGAACTGCCCTCCATATTGGCAGTTTTTGCAGCATGGTTCGAGCTCGATTTTGTGTTCAGGTACTGGCCTCCATCATTCGACTTGCTGGCGATGTTGAAGGCAAGCGTGCACGGCACTGGTGCGAGAGCTCAATTGTTTGAAAGATGCACGCCTCCATCCGCGTAGTCCTTGCACATGTTGCACTTGTGGCAACATTTGTTGGGCAGGAGTTGTATGGGGCGAAGAGGGATGGAGGGAGGAGCGAGGAGCGATGATGAGGAGCAGGAAGAGTAGGAGGAGGAGGACGGAGGATTGAGGACGCACCCGCAATGGCGTGCTGCTTTCCCTCGATTGAGGTCTGGCTCGACCGTGCCCGACCGTGCAGACGACCCGATCGTTTATCGTCGCCGTCCTCGTCGACGCAGTCGTCACCGTGCTCGCTGCGCTGGTCGTCCTTGCCCTTGCCACTGTCCTGCTGTCTTCCTTCTTGTCCTCGTCGCCGTCAGATTCGTCGTCGTCCGTCGGCGTTCGTCGTCGTCGTCTTTGTCTTTGCCTTCGTCGTCGTTGTCGTCGTCGTCGTCGTTGTCGTCGTCGTCGTCGATGTCGTTGTCGTCGTCGTCGTCGTCGTCATCGTCGTCGTCGTCGTCGTCGTCGTCGATATCGTCGATATCGTCGTCGTCGTCGTCGTCGTCGTCGTCGTCGTCGTCGTCGTCGTCGTCGTCGTCGACATACTCGTCCCCCTCGTCGTCCTCCTGCTCGGTTTCCTCGTCACTGTCGTGGTCGCTCTCCTCCGCCTCGCCCTCGTCCTCGCTCCCTCGTCGCCGCCCTCCTCGTCGGGGGCGGGGCCGCAGGTGTGCGGGGTGGCGTGCGCGGAGATCGCCGTGCAGGAGGCGCCGCGAGACACCGGAGGGGGCGGGGCCGCGCGGCCCGGACCGTCCTTCCCGCGCAGGCTGGCGGCCAGGGGGGAGGTCGCTCGGACGGGCCCGGGGGGGGGGGGCCAGAGGCGGCCCTGGCCCGAGCGCGATGCCCGCGGCACCGCGGTGGTCCTGTGGGGCTTCCGGGGAGGGACGCGTCGGGCGCGTCCGCCCCCCTCCCCCCCCCCCCCGAAGATGGCCACTGTGCCCAAGAGGTCCCGCAGATCTAGGCTCGAGCGGGCCCAAGGAAAATGCGTACCCGCCAGGGCGCATTCCGACTTCTCTGATTCGATTCGATTCGATGTTCGAGGGCTTCCGATTCCGATGCCGATTCGATTCGTCTTCGGATTCCGACTGGGATTTCTCAATAGCAGCCTGCCGATTTTCGCCGGTTCGACTTCTCCCAACTCGGCTGCCGATTTCCGCCGATCCGATTCATTTCGATCGCCGATCCGACTTATCGATTCGATTCTGGGCTCGCGTACCCGCTGGCTGCGCGACGGTTCCCGTTTCCATGGGAAATCGCGGATTTCCGCTGCTGGACGAGGCAGCACCGGCCGCATTTTGGGGAGGGCACTTCCCCCGATCCATGGATTTGGCGTCCGCGCGCCAAATCCATAGATCGCTAATCCATGTTTGCGCGGCCCCGATACTGGCCTGCCGATTTCCGATTCGATGTCTCCCGACTCGGCTGCCGATTTCCCGCCGATCCGATTCAGCCGATCGCCGATCCGACTTATCGATTCGATTCTGGGCTCGCGCACCGGTTGGCTGCGCCCGCTAAATCGCGATGGTCACGCGGCTCCGGAGAGAGGCACACCCGCCCCCCAAGTCGGCAAATCGGCTTTTCGATCCCGCAGATCTAGGCGCGAGCGGGCCCGAGGCGTTCGGAGTCTGCAGGATGTTCTGGCTGTCCCCAAGCCGAGATATCCAGCGTCAGGAGTCAAACACCATACGGCCAGGTTTGTGAGACCAGGGCGTCATACAGTGGGGGCGCGCATCAAGAAACTAAGTGCTTTTCGTCGAGGTACCCTAGGTTACTTCGATCCGCGCGCTGCGCGGTGACTTCCCGCAGTCGTTGAAGAAGCTGATGCGTTCAGGGTGCTCCGGGTTTCCCCTCAGGCGCACGCGCGCGGTTTTTTAGGGTTGGGTTTTTTGCGGCCGCGCCCGCATTGTAGGCCCTCCCCCGTCCCCCAGACAGAATGCAGCCCTCGACAAAACCGAGAGGGTTCTGGGGGTGAAATCATGAGCAGATCGTGATGTCGGAGGTATGGGCTTTGAAGAGACCTCCGAGGCTCTGGGATGGCCCAGGAGCTGGGTGCACGTTGAGCCAGGTCCATCTCGTCGGCCACTTCTGTCAAAGCCTGAGTTCAGATTTTACAGGGGGAACCCAAGGACCTGGAGAGGGGGTTTAGGGAGGAGTGGAGGATGGGGAGGAGGAGGCGTTTATTTGGTTCCGCTCTCCTCCCTCCCCCTCTCGTGTGTTGCCTTGTCTGTTTACGTTCGCCTTGACAAATCACCTGGTCGCCACAGCCGTTCACGAAACCGACCGGCCCGGCCCTGGGGGGGGGGAGCGGATGAGGGCTACGTCCGAAGACTCTTCCAGCCGTCGGGAATGAGGAGCCCAGGAGGAGGCGGGGAAGGACAAGCGCGAGAGGGAGAGCGAGCGCAGTCTCTCGGGGGCCTCTGTGCGGTCTCTGAGCCTGGCGGGCTCGGCCCTGCGGCACCCTGCAGCCGCTGTTGTGGCGGTCTGGGGAACTGGCCGTTTTCGGTTCGCGAGAGGGCGTCGCGGCCGTCGTTTTTGCGGGTCCAGGTCCGTCGGTTTCGGTCCCAGGCCGTTTTCATTAAGGGGAGGTCTACTAAAGGGAGGTCTGTTCACCGCCAAGAAGAGCGCCGGGGAGCGACATCCTCACGTGGTTCCGTTTTTTGTTTGCGACGGGCGATGCGGATTTCTCAAGTCGGGTCGGCTTTGTCCACAAGGTCGTCGCATGATGTTTCACGTGCACGTCGATGTCTCAAGTGCAGCGCCGCAGTCTCAGAAGTCCCTTTCGCCAGCGTGGCTTTAACGCTATGGAGGAGCAGGGGGAGGAGGAGAGGGAGAAGGAAGAGGGGGAGGACGAGGACGAGGAGGGGGAGGAGGAGGAGGAGGAGGAGGAGGAGGAGGGAGAAGAGAAATAGTAGGGGGAGGGGAAATCGGATGTGAGAGAGGACGAGGAAGAGGAGGAGGAGGAGGAGGAGGAGGAGGAGGAGGAGGAGGAGGAGGAGCAGGAGGAGGAGGAGGAGGAGGAGGGAGGGGAGGAGGAGGCGGAAGCAAAGCGGACGACTGGAAGAGGGCATGCGCAAGGGCGATGATGAGAAGGCGAGGGGCAATCAATGCTGATTCTCGTGCGGGGTCCTGCCGTCGGAGTGATTTGCTATCTTGGCGTATTGCGCTCCGTTTTTGGCAATCTTGGCCGTTTTGACCCCTCGCGAAACCTTCCGAGCAGACCCAAAAGGACGCGGAACAGGGAGGTATCGAACCCCAAGCTGGAGCGCTCACGCTCGATCGTTTTCCCCTAAAGTGAGCAGCACTCGAGTTATGATGTTCCAACCTACGTTAGCTGCAAGCACCAGAAAGAATTTCGAGCACCAAGAAAGTAACGATTCTGGAGGGTTTTCACGTGTTGGGCCCTTGGAGGCGATACTCGTTCGACACTGTTTCGATAGTTTGCTGGGTACTCGAAATTATTTTTGGGATTTGGTCCTCAAGTGCGATGGGAGCAACATAACACTCGAGACCCAGCATACGGAGGAAGAGGGCGACATCGGATGGACAACCACTTCGGAACCCATACAGACGCCAGGGACGCGACGCTCGAAAGGTGCGCCGCGCGTGCCAAGTGCGCCACGCGCACCAGGTGTGCGCCAGGTGTCCCGGGTGCCCAGACGGTCAGGCGCGCTCGGTGCTTAGTGCGCCGTGTTTCTTTATTGCATTGGGAATAATGATGGGCGTGATAGCCCCCCGCCTCCCGTCCCCCTATAACGTAACGCCCCCCACCCCCCCAGTGCGCCCCTGGCACTGCCGCCGTGCGCATCGGGATCCGCATAGGCGTCCGCATAAGAATCCGCGTAGGGGTCTAGTCTGCAGGCGTCGCCGCCGTCGTCGTCGTCGTCGTCGTCGTCGCTCGTCGCTCGTCGCTCATCGTCGTCGTGCGCGCGGACGCGGCTGAAGTCTGTTTTTTCATTCCGAGCCGGTGACGGCCGTCATCTGGGGGTGGAGGGACGGGGTTGAGGACGTCACGTTTCGCGCCAGCGGCGTGTGGGAATGAACAGGAATGACCGAGGACGGGTAGCAGCATCATGTAGGTGGCGATCCGCACCACAGCGCCTGTGTACACCACAGTGCCTGCGTACACAGCGCCTGTGTTCACCACGCAGCCTATGTACACCACATCAGCCGCGAGCAACACAGCGCCAGTGTGTGCCACAGTGCCTGCGGGCACCACAGCGCTTGTGTACACCACAGCGCCTGCGTACACCACATGAGCCGTGCGCAACACAGCACCAGTGTACACCACAATGCCTGCGTGCACTCCAGCGCCTGTGTACACCACAGCAACCACAGCAACCGTGTGCAACAGCAACCGTGTGCAACAGGGCACAGATGTTGCATGTAGAATTTCAGCAGAAATCCTTATGACAAAATGGAATGCCTGTGGACTCCACAGAAAACAATTGTTTTATACATACAGGATTTGGGAAATAATCCTTCTGGAACAAGGAGCGCCGCTGAAATCTACTTGCCCTCCCGCATCATCCGAACTCCTCTCATATGAATCCAGGGGGCGCCAGCTGAATTGGCCATCCCAGAACCAAGTGGACTGATTCAATAGATCATTCTGCGGTGCGCGCTGAGATGCGCACGTGCGCTGTAGCGCGAACCCGCACGACAGGGGGGAAGGGTGAGGAAGGAGGAGGAGGTGGAGGAGGTGGAGGTTGAGGAAGAGGAAGGGGGGAATAACGTCCCATTCCATTATCAACACTTCCCTGGCGTGGTGTTTAGGTTTCCGCAGCAGATCCTCATTTACCTGCTCCTTCTACCTGTCCTGTGCACGCAGGCGCTGTGGTGTACACCCGCTTTGAATTTGCACGCGGATGTTGTGCTGTACACAGGCACTGTTGTCGGGGGCGGGAAAGAGGGGGGTGATGATTAGGGGGGGGTGGATGTCATGGCGGGGGCCATGATATTTCCCCAGATTTCATGGCGCCTCTTTTTGCTTCATTACGTGCCTGGCCCCCCCGCTGGGCCGCCCACGTGCCGCCGGTCATGATTTGCCTCCCCCCTCTTGGACCCCACCCTTTTGGCCGCTCCCGATGTTGTGTGCACAGGTGCTGCGGTGCACGCAAACATTGGTGTACACAGGCGCTGTGTTGCACATGGCTGCTGCGGAATACATACTTTCCGTGGTGTACACTGGCGTCGTGGTGCACGCAAGCATTGTGGTGTATTTACACAGACGCTGCGTTGCACACGGCTGTTGCGGTGTACGCAGGCGTTGTGGTGTACATTCGCGCTGTCGTGCACGTGAACATTGTGGTGTACACAGGGTTTGCGGGGCAGATCTCCACCCAAGTACTGTTCCTACTTGGCCTTGGTCATCCCTACTAAGCATTCCTAGACGCCGCGGGCGCGGAACGTGACGTTATTGGGAGGGGAGGCTGGGCCGATGATTGCCGTTATCCCAGAAAATAGAAAAAACAACAGGCTCCTGTGGTGCCAGAGCCACACGGCACACGGCGGGGAGGTGGGGGCGTTGCGTTATACCTCCCGCCGCCCCTCCATAACGCCCACTATCGCCGAAAATGAAGAAACGCGCTCCCGCCAAGTGTCACACATGCTCAAGGCGCGCCAGGAGCGCGACGCAACGCGACAGCACGCATAGATCAAACTGGCCACACCTTCACAAACCTGTCCAGAACACCCATGGTGGCGGTGAGGTGGTCAGTATGTTATATGGCGTGTGCATTCGCAATTAACTTCTGCTTCCCCAGATCTGGCGAATAGTTCGTGGTAGTTCTTGAACAGCTGGTGGGTGCCAGACCTGCGCCTGTCGGAGTTGTTCGGGGTTCCCAGGTTTGTTTTTTTCCAGTGGAGTTGCTCGGGGTTCCTTGATTTGGGTTTTTTATTGTATTGCGAAGGCCTGACGGCCGGTGCCGCCGACCCTGTTCGCAATGCGCAGCAAGAGATTACGAGGTTGCTCAAGGTCGGCTTGGCTGGAGCCCAGGGGAAGAGGAGTCCCAGGGGGGGCGTCGTATCTGACCCGGGGGGGGTCGACACCCCCCCCCCCTCCCGGCGGGGGAGGGATCAAAGGGAAGGGGCTTCCCTTCGACTCAATTACGAGGTTGCTCAAGGTCGGCTTGGCTGGAGCCCAGGGGAAGAGGAGTCCCAGGGGGGGGCGTCGTATCTGACCCGGGGGGGGGGTCGACCCCCCCCCCCCCCCCCGGCGGAGGGATCAAAGGGAAGGGGCTTCCCTTCGACTCAATTACGAGGTTGCTCAAGGTCGGCTTGGCTGGAGCCCAGGGGAAGAGGTCTCCCAGGGGGATCTGACCCGGGGGGGGGTCGTCCCGTGGGAAGGGGGGAACAATCTCCCGGCGGGGGAGGGATCAAAGGGAAGGGGCTTCCCTTCGACTCAATTACGAGGTTGCTCAAGGTCGGCTTGGCTGGAGCCCAGGGGAAGAGGAGTCCCAGGGGGGGGCGTCGTATCTGACCCGGGGGGGGGGTCGCTACCCCCCCCCCCCTCCCGGCGGGGGAGGGATCAAAGGGAAGGGGCTTCCCTTCGACTCAATTACGAGGTTGCTCAAGGTCGGCTTGGCTGGAGCCCAGGGGAAGAGGAGTCCCAGGGGGGGGCGTCGTATCTGACCCGGGGGGGGGGTCGCTACCCCCCCCCCCCCTCCCGGCGGGGGAGGGATCAAAGGGAAGGGGCTTCCCTTCGACTCAATTACGAGGTTGCTCAAGGTCGGCTTGGCTGGAGCCCAGGGGAAGAGGAGTCCCAGGGGGGGGCGTCGTATCTGACCCGGGGGGGGGGTCGCTACCCCCCCCCCCCTCCCGGCGGGGGAGGGATCAAAGGGAAGGGGCTTCCCTTCGACTCAATTACGAGGTTGCTCAAGGTCGGCTTGGCTGGAGCCCAGGGGAAGAGGAGTCCCAGGGGGGGGCGTCGTATCTGACCCGGGGGGGGGGTCGACACCCCCCCCCCCCTCCCGGCGGGGGAGGGATCAAAGGGAAGGGGCTTCCCTTCGACTCAATTACGAGGTTGCTCAAGGTCGGCTTGGCTGGAGCCCAGGGGAAGAGGTCCCAGGGGGGAAGGCGTTCTGACCCGGGGGACAGGGTCACCCCCCCCCCCTCCCGGCGGGGACAAAGGGAAGGGGCTTCCCTTCGACTCAATTACGAGGTTGCTCAAGGTCGGCTTGGCTGGAGCCCAGGGGAAGAGGTCCCCCAGGGAAAGGGAAGGACAGAAACGACGAGTACAAAGAATGACGGAGATGACGGCTCGAACGGAAAAGCCCCTCACACACGCCGACAGGGTCGGCGGATTTCCTGGGTTGTTTGGTCATGCTTCCCGACAGCGCCAAGCAACACCAAACAAAGCAAATTAATGTCAAGCAGCACCAAGCAACACCAAGCAACACCAAGCAATGCACCAAGCAATTTGAAGCAGCACCAAGCAACACCAAGCAATGCCAAACAATGTCAATCAACGCCAAGTAATGCCAGGACATCTGGAGCAACGCGAAGCAATGCAAAGCAACGCCAAGCAATGCAAACCAACGCCAAGCGATGCGCCCACGCAATAGGAAGCATGGGCTTCATGTGCAGGAGTTTCCACAAGTGGATCTACCTCTCAGAATGGGTGTTCCACATCAGCGTGCGCGCGGTCGCGCGGGGATCGTGACAGGGATACAACGCACAGCGGGCAAATAGTCTCCCCCCCCCGCCCCCCCTGTCGAAATCGAAACCCAATGCGTAGAGCTTGTGATGTTCCCGCTCACGGTCCAGATTTCGTCGTCACGTGCAGTTTGTACAGTTTTGACAGGGATGGTGGGGGGGCCGTCTGGCTCCTGGTCGGCCGCTGGTCCAATGGGGAAGGGGTTGGGTATCTATAGGGAGCTGTCGTAAACCCTCCTAACTCTGACTGGCCCACGCCCACACGGCTGGTCGGATCAGCTTGCCTCTGGTTGTCTCACGCAATGTGGTAGTTCTTAGTTCTGTTCGTGTGTGTCGCATGCAGTGTTCTTGTGGATTTCGAATCGCTTCGAATATCTCACGCCCAGCTGAACCAGAGCACCATCGGCGCCTCTGATGAAGCCGACATGGCGTTGCACATGCAATTCGCAAGTGGTGTAGCCATGCCATCAGTTGCCAACCAGCTTGGCTGGTCGGAGCGGGCGTGCACACCATCTGGCCTGACCGTTTGCTGCTGCGCGCCCGTCTCGTCGCCGCCGAGGGGCTCTCTGGACGCTGCTCAGATCGAGGCGCTGGACTTCTCGTCGGGCTGATCGACGCTTCCGGGGGGGGGAAACAGGCAAGGACGGCCATTGGCTCGCTGCGGCAGGCACAGTCTGCGCCCAGTCCCGAGGAAGGCGCGCGAGGGGGGCGGCGAGGGCGACTGCGGCCGCCAGGCCAACACGCACGCCTGGCTCTCCACCATGCACCTCAGGATCCTTTTTTCTTTATGCAGCTTGCAGGGCTTCTTAAGCTGCACTGAGGTGCCTCGCTGGGTCTCGTGGTCTAGTCTTGCGGCTGCCTGGTCCTCAGTGACGATCTCTCGCATGGGCCGTGCTGGGGCCGTCTTTGGGGGCCTCCTGGGGCCCGAGTGCCGTCATCGAGAGCTCTCGGGCTATTTGGGCGATGCTTGTCATGAGGTTGGCCGTCTCGGGGCTATCTGGGGCCGAGCTGGACGCCTCCTGGTCCGTGCCGGCGGCATTTGCTGGGGTCCCCGGCGGATCACGGCGGCGAAGGACGGCGGCAGCTGCAAGGCTCGTGGGCAGGTCTGGCGAGCCATGCCGAGTCTTGCCCAACACCTAGCACGCTCAGCATCCCCGTGGACAGAGCGGGTGGCGGATCGAAGATGCCTGCGGCGAACCACCGCCGCCCCCAGTCTTATTGGCAACGCATGTGTGGCCAGACCTTGGGCCAACGTTCGGTCAAGCTATTGGACTATGTCTTCCCTCAGTCGTGGAAACCTTTTGACGAACACTTTGGGTAGGAAGAGGGAGAGAGAGAGAGCGAGAGAGAGAGAGAGAAATAGACAGGGAGAGAGAGAGAGAGAGAGAGAAAGAGAGAAGGAGAAACGAGAGAGAGAGAGAGAGACAGAGAGGCAAAGAGATGAGCAATTACGTATATGGATTACACGAGGGAAGCCCCAATCAGTGGATCTGCTGGGATGTTCGCACGCACTCTACGGCTGCCCTCTCTCTCACTCTCTGTCCATAGGTTTGTTTGCCTGAGCGCTGTTGCGCGTTTGCTCTGGGGAGCGTGCTGTCCAAGCTTATGCTGCGACTGCCAGTCTGATGGCGCCCTCGTCGCTGCTCACCGCGGCGGCCGTTCACGGCTCAATTGTAATCCTGGTTTGGTGGCGTCTCCGGGGTGCTCAAAGCGGTTGCGAGTCTGGTGCCGTCGGGTTGTTCACCACGGCGTCACTGCATGTTGCGTTGTATTCGCTTGCGATGGCATTTGGGCCCATTTGTAACTCAAATCCAAGCGGGTTTTACAGTGGAGACCCATGCATAGAAACACCCTGCTTGCCTCACACCAAAAATGAGTGGACGCCCTAGGGTCTCAGACTCGGGATTCTTGTGGAAGGTTTCTTGTGGTTGAGTCCCTACTTCAAGCCTAAGGAGGCTAGCTATGCAACTTTTCCTGCAGACCCAAGTACATTGCATGTACCACGGGCTTAAAGAGCTGGAATGCAAGTCAATGCTAAAGCAGTCGTGACGCAGATATTCAGGGGAGGTGGGGAACTCAATCAGAAATGAGGAAGGCCGACATAGAGGCCAGTAGGACGAGATTGCCGCACTAGAGTTAGGGTGGATGGAAGCTGGATCAGCTGTAGGACAACAGACGCTCTTGATTTGTTGGCCTCCCATATGGGGTCCGACAAGATGGGTCGCAGGATTGCGCCGCATAACATATGCATCGGTGATGTGGCTCGATGTGAAGCACGAGCTTCTCCGCGTCGACGGCGGCAACGCATCGCCTAGACATCGGTGATGTATTGGTTATGCGATTCAGCTCTCCAATACCATCTACTCGGGACAGTGGGAGGACGAATGACGACGCCGACGTCGGCGGCGGCGACGACCTGAGCCGCATCGAAGCGCCCCCCCTCCCAGTGACGACGCCACTGGCGCCAGCGTCGGCTACGGGGGACCGCCCTTCGCGCCGGGCAGATGGGATCCATCGTCGTCGCTGCCGCCGCTTCCGCAGACATCGTCGTCGTTGTCGAGGACAACGAGGACAACGAGGACCAGGGAGGAGGAGGAGGAGGAGGAGGAGGAGGAGGAGGCTGAGGAGGGCGGGAGGGAGGGAGCTAGGAATGAAGCGGTGGTTGAAGGTAGGTATTGTGGCAGTGAGGTGGAATGACAGCGACCACTACATTCGGACTCCTACTTCCATGCCCCCCCCGTCGTCCTCGCCCCCTCCTCCCCTTCCATGTTCCTTCTCAACCTTCTCCTCCTCCTCCTCCTCCTCCTCCTCCTCCTGATCTTTCTTCCTCGCCTGCGCGTCCGTCGACGTGGCGGTGACGCCCGAGCGGGCGTTCAAGGTTGAACGCCACCAGTGACCTGCATTAGGTCGACCTTGAAGGATGTCCGCTGTCGGACAGCAGAGATCGCTCACGGTCGAGCGATCGGGGCGGTGCCAGAAGCTTGTGCCCAGTACATCGAGGCAGGAGCCCGCTGTAACTAGAGCCCGTTGCTTTATTGCTTGGGGCATGACGGGCGTCATGGCCCCCGCTCCCGCCCCCCGTAGAACGTAACGCTCCCCCCCCCAGTGCGCTCTGGGCACTGCCGCCGTGCGCATTGGAATCCGCGTAGGTGTCCGCGTAGGAATCCGCATAGGTGTCTGGTCCGCAGTCGTCGTCGCCGTCGCCGTCGCCGTCGCCGCCGCCGTCGCCGTCGCCGTCGCCGTCGTCGTCGTCGTCGTCGTCGTCGTCGTCGTCGTCGTCCGTCGTGGTCGCTCGTGGTTCGTTGCTCGTCGCTCATTGTTGTCGTGCGCGCGGACGCGGCTGGAGCTTGTTTTTAAGTCGGGGCCGATGACGGCAATCATCTGGGGGGGGAGGGGGTCGATGACGTCACGTTTCGCGCTGGCGGCGTCAGGGAATGTTTAGGAATGACGGAGGACGGGTAGCACGAACATGTAGGTGGCGATATGCACCACAACGCCTGTGTACATCATAGTGCCCGCGTGCACCACAGCGCCTGTATACACCACGCCGCCGATGTACACCACAGCAGCCGCGTGCAACACAGCGTCAGTTTGTGCCACCGTGCCTGCGGGCACAGCAGCTCCTGTGTACGCCACAGCGCCCCCGTACACCACATCAGCAGTGCGCAGCACAACACCAGTGTACACCACAATGCCTGCGTGCATTGCAGTGCCTGTGTACGCCACGGCGCCTGTGTGCACCACATCAACCGTGTGCAACACAGCACCATTGTTGTGTGTATAATTTCAGAAGGAATCGTTGTAACAAAATGGAGCGCGTGTGTATTTCAGAGAAAACAATGGAAAACAAATATTCATGGACAAAGGAGCGCCGCTGGAATCTACGAGTCCCCCCGAGTCCGCCCGCATCACCCTAACTCCCATTTGCGTCCAGGAGGCTCCAGCTAAACTGGCCGTCCGAGAACCAACTGGACCGATTCAATCGACCATTCTGCGGTGCACGCTGCGATGCGCACGTGCGTTTTAACGCCAAGCCGCACGACAGGGAGTAAGAAGAATTAAAAGGAGGAAGAGGAGGATGAGGAGGAGGAGGATGAGGAGGAGGAGGAGGAGGAGGACGAGGAGGAGGAGGAGGTGGAGGAGGACGGAGGAGGGAAAAACGTCGCATTTGATTCAGCATTTTCCTGGCGTGGCGTTTAGTTGTCCGCAGCAAATCCTGACGTACATGCTCCTTCTACCTGTCCTCTGCACGCAGGCACTGTGGTGTACACCAGCGCTGCGTTGCACGCGGATGCTGTGGTGTAGACAGGCGCTGTGGCGTGCACAGGCGCAGCGGTGCACGCAAGCACTGTGGTGTACACAGGCGTTGTGTTGCACATGGCTGCTGCGGTGTATGTACACAGGCATTGTGGTGCTCCCAAGTATTGTGGTATACACGGGTGGTGCGTTGCACACGGCTGTTGCGGTGTACGCAGGCGCTGTGGTGCACACGCGCGGTGTGGTGCACGCGAGCGTTGTGGTGTACACCGGCGCAATGGGCAGATCGCCACTTACATGCTGCTCGCGTCGTCATCGTCGCTCGTCGCTCGTCGCGTCGTGCGCGCGGGCGCGGCTGTGGTGCCGGAGCCACACGGCGGGGGGGGGCGTCACGTCATACCCCCCCCGCCCTCCCCCCCCCCCATAACGCCCGTCATCGCCGAACATAAAGAAACGCGCTCCTACTCCCCCTCCTGCCCTCTTGCCTGCGCCCCCGCTCCCGTCCTCGAGTATTTCCCTCCTCCCCCGCCAGCATTGCTCTCTCTCGCCTGATGCTATCTTTTTGGTCCCCCGCCTATCCCGCATCTGTTGTATCAGACCTGATTGTCCTCAGTTGGATTGCGACATTTCCACCCCCCATCCAAAATTGGTGCTCCCACTGCAGCGTTGGCCAGATTTTAGGACCGGCGCCTTGCTCCAGTCGTTCAGAATGGAGCTCTCGCCCCAGCGTTGGCAACATCTCAGGATCCGATTCCTTTCTTGTCGTAGCCTTCCTCTTCCTTTCCACTCCGCCTTCCCTTGGTTTTCCTGCTCCTCTCACTCATCCTACTCCTGCTCCTGATGCTGCGGCTGGTCCTCCTCTTCCTCCTCCTTCCTCACCCTCTTTTTACATCTGCTCATCCGTCACCTCCTCCTCCTCCTCCTCCTCCTCCTCCTCCAATGTGCACAGCTCACTTGCTGACTGCGCACCACACTATGATGCCATTCGGTTGATCCCGGTCCGTTAGGGCACCCGTCGGCAGATAGGGTGGGAGGAGTTGGATGGCAGATATGGCTCTGGCGCGCCCGGCTTGTCCCCTCCACTTCCCCCTCCCCCCCTTCCCCTCTTCGCCCCTTCCCCCGGTCACCGAGCGCGTTTCACAAGTCGCAGGGTGCCTACTCGCAACCGTCCGAACAAGAACATGTCTTCCTCAATGGAATATATCGTAAATCCCCCGCGGCGGAGCCAGGCCTTCTGCGAGTAGCTACTTTGCGAGTAGTGAAACGCGCTTGTCCATCCAGAGTGGGCGAAACCTGGCCATCCATCGTTGCGGCTCTCCCTGCCCCCGTGAGGAAAAAGGTGGGAGACGGAGGAGGGGATGGAGCTGCGGAATGCAAAAGCGTCGGGGGAAGGGGCGAGGGCGCGGGGGAAGAGGAACGGGGAGCAGGGGCCGAAGGAGCGGGCCTTGGCGTCGGGGGGAAGTTGGGGAGAGGGTGAAGAGCAGCAGCTGGAGTTCAGGAGATCGCAAACATGGATCTAGGGGGCGTGGATTAGCGACGGGTCCCGCTTCCATGAGGATGAGGAGGAGAAGGAGGAGGAGGAGGAGGAGGAGGAGGAGGAGGAGTAAGTAGAGGCGGAGGATAATGATGAGCGAGGACCATGAGGGTACGATATAGAGTGGTAGTAAGAGGAGGAGGAGGAGGAGGAGGAGGGGGAGGAGGAGGAGGAATAGGATGAGCTGAAGAATGGGGGAGCGGGAGGGTGATGGGGGATAATGATACATCCGGAGCCGCAGGATGAGGATGAGGATGAGGATGAGGATTAGGATGGGGATGGGGATGAGGATGAGGAAGATGATGATGATGAGGAGGAGGAGGATCAGGATGAGGAGGATGATGATGAGGAAGATGAGGATGAGGAGGAAGAGGAGGATGAAGACGATAATGAGGAAGAGGAGGAGGACGAGGAGGAGGAGCAGAAGAGCCACTGCCGAGGAGAAGGAGGAAGAGGATTCCTAGGGCTTGTCGTCTCTTCTTCGTTCGGCCTGCTGGGATGATGTCAGATACATCGTTGCCTTGTTTCGTGATTTATTGCGTGCCAAGATAAAAGTCGAGATACACCCACCTAACACCATGCTCACATGGACAAGCCGTGGAAGATCCAGCGCCGAGCCAGCGGACAGGCAGAGGTCGCCAAGCCCTCCTCACCGATGGGGGGGGCTCTCGATCAAGCAGTGGCGAGGCGCCCCGGCTGGCCTCAAGGCCCACCGAAGAATGTTCTAAGAACCTTTTGTGGGTTGCACGCAATGTTCTTAGAACATTGTTGGCTGGAACTGTCTTGTGTTAGCACATCGGGTTATGTTCTTAGCACACTGAGTTTGTTCTTAGAATACTGATGTGTTCTAAGAACATTTCGTGGTAGGCCTAAAGGAATGCCGGGACGGTCGCTCCCTGCTCAATTCGAGCGAGCCGCCAGAGGCCCCCCCCCTGGCGCGCTGGCGGGCCTCGCGGGGGCCCCGCTTCGGCCGGAGGCCGGGCCCGCGGTCGCTGAGCGCAGGAGACCTCGGCAAGCCGGACTTCCGCGACTGGGGGAAGGTCGCGGCGCCGCTACGCGCCCCCCGCGCGCTCATTCAGAGCCGCGAATCATCAGGGCTAACTCGGGTTCGTTTTTCGGGATTCCGAACCCGAGTGGCCCTGGGCCCGAGTTACCCTGGATAATTCGGGCGTCCAGAGCCCCGAATCATCAGGGGAAGCTCGGGTCAGGGCTACCTCGGGTTCGTTCTTCGGGATTCCGAACCCGAGTGACCCCGGGCCCGAGTTACCCTGGGTAATTCGGGCGTCCAGAGCCCCGAATCATCAGGGCTAACTCGGGTTCGTTTTTCGGGATTCCGAACCCGAGTGGCCCTGGGCCCGAGTTACCCTGGATAATTCGGGCGTCCAGAGCCCCGAATCATCAGGGGAAGCTCGGGTCAGGGCTACCTCGGGTTCGTTCTTCGGGATTCCGAACCCGAGTGACCCCGGGCCCGAGTTACCCTGGGTAATTCGGGCGTCCAGAGCCCCGAATCATCAGGGGTAGCTCGGGTCAGGGCTACCTCGGGTTCGTTTCTCGGGATTCCGAACCGGAGTGACCCTGGGCCTGAGATACCCCAGGTAGTTCGGGCGTCCAGAGCCCGGAATCATCAGGGGTAGCTCGGGTCAGGGCTAATTCGGGTTCGTTTCTCGGGGATTCAAACCCGAGTTACCCCGGATAACTCGCGCGCCCAAGTCATCTGCCGGCGGCGCGCCAATCGCTGACTCGAGTATCACACCAAACCTGCATACACGTAGACTTCCGTAGCCGAGGTCCGCGCGGATGTCCTGCATCTGCGCTGCCCCCCCCCCTAGCGGCGCCTCCGGTGCCGACCTTACAAATATGCGTGCACCTCTGAGGAGGTTTGCTCATGCAGATGCTTGTCCCTCTGTAGGTGAGTGCCTCTGCGTCGGTTTCGCGGCATCCATCCAAGCTCGGGTTGGTGGGCGGGTGGCGCCGGGTGGCCTTGGTTCCCCATGGACTGGGATATGGCTCTGACGATGTTGGCGAAGGGGGATGGGGCGAGGGATGAGTCGGCTGTTCAACGATGGGGCCCTGAGGGACGGGGCACCAAGGACAGGGAAGGGATCCTTGGCTGAGCCCTCACTGGTTGAGGCACCTGGTCCACAGGGGCCCTATCCCCGGGGGCCCCATCTTTGAACCGCCGAGTTTGGCCTTCTGAGAAGGCGGTGCGCGTGTTGGAAGGCCGACCCCTCGAGCACTGCTGCTGCTGCTGCTGCTGCTGCTGCTGCTTCTGCTGCTGCTGCTGCTGCTACTGCGGCAGCCGTCCTGTCGTGTTCGCGCCCTCGTCCACACATTTTTTCTCGCTCGCTTCGTTTTGCCGCGCCCTCAGGCGCACTACGGCCCAGCGGGCAAGTGCATCAACACATCACTCCCTTTTGACGTAGAGGTGCGTGCTCCTTTGTTTTCTGCGGCGGGAGCGAGATTCGACATCCGTGTCGCCCTCCGAGAAGGCATGTTTGCGAATCGTCAGTGTGGTACGTTTGGCTAGCATCCTTTGAACTCTGCGAGGGGATGTGTGTCATCATGTTCTTATTGTTTCTATTGGTAATCTCGACCAATATGTCCGATTCGAAGGCGTCTTCATATCGTTCATTGCAGATGCAGTCGAGTTTGTTTCTCTCGCTCTTGTTTATCGTGCACTGTGACCTAGTGCGCCCATGAGTGCGGGGCCTTGCCGATGAGGCCGTATGGCTAGGCTATCCAGGTGCCAGCGCGACATCCGTTCCGGTGCCAGCGTAGCATTATGTGTGGCGATGTTTTGAGCACCGCTCACTTTCTCACATGTGACACTTCTCATTGTCTTCACTTCTTGAGGAGATATCATGGGGACTATTTTGATTGTCTCGTGGCTATCTTGGGCTCATGTGGGGCAGTGGGAAAGCCCTTGGGGTCCTCTTGACCAGTCCTGAAGCTCTCGTTGGCCGTCTTGGGGCCCCATTGAGCCGTTTTGGGGCTCTCTTGGTCGTCTGGGAGTCTCTTGGGGTAGTCGTGGGGACGTCTTGGGGTCTTCTTCGGCCGTCTTGGGGCCCTCTTAGGCCGTTTCGGATCTGCCCAAAGTCTCTTGTGGGCCAGGTTGAGGCTCTCTTGGGGCCGTCTGTGACAATGCTCCTGTGCTGACTAGGCACACCGTGAGGCTGCGTCAGCCGACATCATTCAGGAAGCCATGCGTGTCATATCAGATGGCACTGGTTATGAACGGCTCTTATTTTCCAAGGGCATTTTTAGACATCCAGGGGATGTTCTTCCTCGGCCAAGCTCGGCTGGGGTCATTGCTCATTTTAAACATCGGCGGTTGCGGCGCCCAGCTTGGGGCCTGTAGTGTTTTTGGTGATGCTTTTTTAGACGGTTCTTAGGTCCCTCACGCGGGCTGGGGGTTCGTCTCGGTCAATGTCGATGGGGAGGTGGTCTCGTCGGTCTTTGGGGCCGTTAGTGGTAGATTTATTCAGAGAACCCAGGTTGCCGAGTACGGTGCCTATGCCGCTGTTGCTCAATTCCTGGTTGGCCCTGCCATGGGCTATGCGGATTGCGAAGGGGTTGTGAGGTCTCATGACGTTCCCAAGAATATTAGCTTCAACCATCGTATTAAGTATTCTGGCTCTGCTGTGTTCTTAGCTCCTGGCCACTGGCTGGGCGTGCGCAAAGACAAAGCGCACGTTTTCGATTCGCCTGATCTCTCATCAGACGATAGGTTTCGCAAGACCGGTACTGATGCTGCTGATCGCCGATCGCGGTGCGAAGCACGTCGTCACATTGCATTCACAGCCCCCTGTTGATGAGGCCTCTCAGGTGCGCATTGTTGTTACATGTAGCCAGGCGGTCTGCCGTGTCGCGTCGTCGGTCCTTCCTCTGTGTCCGAAGCCTGATCCCTCGTGGGTTGAGAGGGAGCCTCCACCTCCTCCACCACCGCCTGGTCCGTACAGAGGTGTATGGCGGTGCCAGTGTTGCCTTCGCTTCAAGCGGTACTAGGCTATGCTGTGATATACTATGCTGCGCTGTGCTATGCTAAGTTAAGCTATGCTATGCTATGCTATGCTATGCTGCGCTCTGCTATGATATGCTATGATATGCTGTGCTATGATATGCTATGCTATGATATGCTGCGCTATGCTATGTTATGCCATGCTATGCTATGCCATGCTGCGCTATGCCATGTTATGCTATGCTGTGTTGTGCTGTGCTATGCTATGATATGCTGCGCGATGCTATACTAAGTTAAGCTATTATATGCTATGCTATGCTATGCTGCGCTATGATATGCTATGCCATGCCATGCTATGATATGCTATGCTGCGCTATGCTATGCTGCGCTACGCTATGAAATGACATGCTGTGCTATGCTATGCTATGCAGTGCTATGCTATGCTATGCTATGCTATGATATGCGAAAAGAGCGTGTTCTACCGCTGCTGGCGGAAAACCGGGGGGGGTCACTACCGGTTCGAACCCCTCCCCCCCCCCCTCTGGAAAACCGGGGGGGGTCACTACCGGTTCGAACCCCTCCCCCCCCCCCCAGTTCATCATGAAAAGGGGGGGGGTCACTACCGGTTCGAACCCCCCCCCCCTCGAAAACCGAGTGGGGGTGCGGACAGTGGTGGGGACGGTGTTGGTGGGGACAGTGGTGAGGGGACAGCGGGACAGTGGTGGGGACAGTGGGACAGTGGGACAGTAGAGGGCCGGTAGTGGTGGGGACAGTGGTGGGGACAATGGTGGGAACAGGGGGGACAGTGGACAGTGGTGGGGACGGTGGTGGTGGGGACAGTGGTGTGGGCACAGTGGGAATGAGGTGGAAACAGTGGGACAGTGGAGGGTACACTGGTGGTGGGGACAGTGGTGAAGGCGGTGGCGAGGACGGCGGTGGGACAATGGGACAGAGGTACAGTGGGGACAGTGGTGGGGACAGTGGGGACAGTGGTGGGAACAGTGGGACAGCTCAGTGGGACAGCGGCGGAGTCAGTGGGACAGTGGGGACAGTGGGGATAGTCGGGCAGTGGTTGGGGCCGTGGAGACAGTGGGGAGAGTGGAACCGTGGTGGGAACAGTGGTGGGGACAGTGGGGACAGTGCGACAGTGGTGGGGGCACTGGTGGGGACACAGTGGGGACAGTGGTGGTGGGGACAGTGGTGTGGGCACAGTGGGAATGAGGTGGAAACAGTGGGACAGTGGAGGGTACAATGGTGGTGGGGACAGTGGTGAAGGCGGTGGCGAGGACGGCGGTGGGACAATGGGACAGAGGTACAGTGGGGACAGTGGTGGGGACAGTGGGGACAGTGGTGGGAACAGTGGGACAGCTCAGTGGGACAGCGGAGGAGTCAGTGGGACAGTGGGGACAGTGGGGATAGTCGGGCAGTGGTTGGGGCCGTGGAGACAGTGGGGAGAGTGGAACCGTGGTGGGAACAGTGGTGGGGACAGTGGGGACAGTGCGACAGTGGTGGGGGCACTGGTGGGGACACAGTGGGGACAGTGGTGGTGAGGACAGTGGTGCTGGGAACAACAGTGGGGGATGTGATGCGGACGGTGGTAGGGACCGGGAGTCGTTTGCTGGCGGTGAGTGGGGGGGGGTGGGGAGGGGTTCGAACCGGTAGTGATCCCCCTCCGGTTTTCGAGGGGGGGGGGGGGGAGCCCCGGTTTTCTGGGGAGGGGGGGGGGGGGGGGGGGGGAGGGGTTCGAACCGGTCGTGACCCCCCCGGTTTTCGAGAGGGAGGGGGGGGGGGGGGGGGGGGGGGAGGGGTTAGGGGAGGGGGGGGGTTTTGCCGGGGGAAGGGGTGGGGGGGGGGGAGGGGTTCCAGCAGGGGGGGGGGATTTTCGGAGGGGGGGGGGGGCGACCCCCGGGTTCCGGAGGAAACGGTTGGCAATTTTCCACAATAAAGCGGCGGTGGATCACGCTCTCTCTGATATGCCAATGCTGCGCTTAGCTAAGCTGAGCTAAGCTACGCTAAGCTAGGCTAGGCTAAGCTAAGCTAGGCTAGGCTAGGCTAGGCTAGGCTAGGCTAAGTAAGCTAAGGTTAAGCTAGACTAAGCTAAGCTGAGATAGGCAATGCCAAGCTAAGGGGACGTAACTGGGGGAACCGCGGGGCGGATTCCGGGGGAACCGCCCAGGGCGTTTTGCACTGCCCGGCCCTTTAAGCACACAGGGTAAGAACCCTTCTAGGCAGAGCTTAGGTAGGGAGCAGGGTTTTTAAACCCACTGCGATTTCCAAGGTCGATTGCGTGCCCGTCCAGTGCGGACTGGCATGGCATGTTAGAACATGATCACAGGATGTTTGCACATGAGATCCTGGGGCGCACGTCTCAAAAGAAAAATCGTGACGTCGGATGTCAGAGGAGGGCGGAAGGCAGGGCGCGCATGACGGATGCTGAGGCGGCAGAAACGACGACGGCGGGGACGGGGAGGCGGAGGCAGAGGCGCAGCAGCGGGAGGCGGGAGGCGGGAGGAGGGAGGAGGGAAGAGGAGCCAGGCGGGAAGCGGGAAGAGGGAGGCGGGAGAAGGAATGAGAGAGGTTGTGATTGGAGCCCCTGTGCTACAAAACGTCTCAGGCAGAACGGGCCAGACCATCTTCGAGCTTCGCATTGTGAGGATGGCTCAAGAGAAACGGGCCGGAACACCTCGCGAGCGACATCTTGGAGCTAAGTATTGGAAAGATGTCTCAAACGAAACGGGCCGGAAAACCTCTCGCACACGTTCTGACAAGTCCACGTCACATTCGCTTCCCGTTAGGTCCTCTCCTGCAGCTCTCGTCATTCTGCCTCCTCCTCCTGCTCCTCCTCCTCCTCCTCCTTCTCCTCCTCCCCCTCCTCCTCCTCCCCCTCCTCCTGCCTGCTCTCTCATCCACATCCTCCTCCTCCTCCTCCTCCTTCTCCCTTCCATCTCCTCCTCCTCCTCCTCCTCCTCCTCCTCCACCTCCTCTTCATCCCGAACGGCATCTCGGAGCCCAGAGTTGCGAGGATGTCTCCAGCGTAACGGGCTGGACCACGTCGCGCGCGGCATCTCCGAGGTCAGAGTTGCGACAATGTCTTGGGCGAAGCGTGCTGCGAGGAAGTCTCAGGCAAAACGGGCTGGACCACCTCGAGCGCGGCGTCTGAACGTTCCTAGTTGCGGGGGCCTCCTGGGGCCTCCTGGGGACCTCCTGGGGCTTCCTCCTGGGCCTCCTGTGGCCTCCTTGACCCCACCTGGGGCTTCCTGAAGCCTCTTGGGGCTCCCAGGGGGGGATATCTAACATGTGGCCGTCTGGGCCCCCCAAAATGGGGGGGGCACAAGAGCAGGAAAAATCAACGAATCGACACCGGATGTGGATTGACTTGACACGTTCTGATAGGGTGCCTCCTAGGGCCTCCTGGGAGCCTCCTGGGAACCTCCTGGGGACCCCTGGGGACCCCTGGGGCCTGTCCTGGGCGTCCTGCGGCCTCCTGAACCTCCCTGGCCCTCCTGGGGCTCCCAGGGTCCCAGGGGGGATATGTAACATGTTCTGGGCCCCCAGGCTGGACAACCTTGCGCGGCATCTCGGAGCTCAGAGTTGCGAGAATGTTTTGCGCGAAACGGGCCGGACCACCTTGCGCTCGCCATCTCAGTGTTCAGAGTTGCGCATGCGAGACGGGCCGGACCACTTCGCGCAGGGCATCTCAGAGCCCAGAGTTGCGAGGATGTCTCCAGCGTAACGGGCTGGACCACGTCGCGCGCGGCATCTCCGAGGTCAGAGTTGCGAGGATGTCTCAGGCGAAACGGGCTGGACCACGTCGCGCGCGGCATCTCCGAGCTCAGAGTTTGGAGGATGTTTCAGGCGAAATGGGCTGGACCACCTCTTGCGCGGCAGCTCAGAGCTATTTTGAGGATGTCTCAGGCGAAACGGGCCAGACCACCTCGCGCGCGGCATCTCAGAGCTCAGATTTTCGAGGACGTCTCAAACGAATCGGGCCGGACCACTTCTCGCGCGGCATCTCGGAATGCAAAGTGCGAGGATGTCTCAAGTGAAACGGACCAGACCACCTCTTGGGCGGCATCTCGGGGCTCAGAGTTTGGAGGATGTCTAACGCGAAACGGGCCCGACCACCTCTCGCGCGGCATCGGAGAGCGCAGAGTTGCGAGGATGTCTCAGGCAAAACGGGCCGGACCACCTCGCGCACGGCATATCAGGGCTCAGAGTTTGGAGGATGTCTCAGGCGAAACGGGCTGGACCACCTCTCGCGCGGCATCTCGGAGCCCAGAGTTTCGAGGATGTCTCAGGCGAAATGGGCTGGACCACATCTTGCGCGGCATCTCAGAACTCAGAGTTGTGAGGATGTCTCAGGCGAAACGGGCTGGACCACGTCGCGCGCGGCATCTCCGAGCTCAGAGTTTGGAGGATGTCTCAGGCGAAACGGGCTGGACCACCTCTCGCGCGGCATCTGGGAGCTCAGAGTTTGGAGGATATCTCAGGCGAAACGGGCCGGACCACCTCTTGCGCGGCATTTGGGAACTCAGACTTTTGAGGATGTCTTACGCGAAACACCCAATCCCGGACAACTCAGAAACGAGAGTTGCGAGGTTGTCTCAGGCGAAACGACCCGGATCACCAAATTTGTTTGAGGACGTCTTTGCTTTGAATTCGTTCGGCCGAAGATAGCTCCTATCACAACAGCACCCCGTTCAGCAAGCTCTTTGGGGAAATAGTCAAAATATTTTCAGTGGTCTTTTCAGTATTTTTAACTCTTCGCCCAAATCCCCCCTGTAGGGGGACATGCCCGACCTAACCCTACTGTCACGCTTATGCCTGCACGTGGCCATCGCCTGGTGGCGTCGCATTGCCCAGACGGCTCGCAATTTTTTATCTGTCGTGGTTGCAAGGTTTCTACCAGTCTGGGTCAGATTCGGCGACTGCGGCACCAGTGCGATCCCAAGCGCACGGGCAGGAATGACATCGCTAGGTTTCAAAAAGGGTCAAGCGTGGCTCGCACCCCAAGCTCGATGATGCTGCCGTCGAGCTTCTGCCGCCTGATGTGTTAGATGATGGTGCTCCTCGTGCTGCCGCTCCTGGTGCTGACGAGGCGAGGCCGCAGCTTCGTCGAGTCTCCACTGCGTTGCATGACGACGAGGACTCTCTGCCACTTGTTCCGTCGGTCGGGGTCGCTGGCGATGACAGCTCGGGCTGACCTTTGCTTCCACCCCTGTGTCAGGCTGTCGCTGCGCTCGTCTCGGCACGCCAGAGGGTTCCCTCAGTGGTCTTGTCACCTGCGCCTCCCTGGGTCTCGTGCCTCTCAGGCGCGGGCGGGAGGGCGGCAGCCCCGTCCTGGCGCTGCAGCACATGGGGCCGCGCCGCCCTCCCCATCCCCAGGCGCTACCGGGGGATCATGAGGCTCCGAGGATGTCGCCTTTCATTTCTGCTTCCGGCCAAGATGTAGACGAGGCTCCGCTGGTGCCCTGCTCCAGGGAGCCGCGCACGCTCGAAGCAGGAGACTCAGATCGACTGCCGCAGCCTCGCACACTCGCTGTCAGGTGGCGCGGTGCTCGGTCGTGCCGCGCCAGCGGGGCCTCGCGCGTGCCAGGCTCTCGCGCGTCTTTGCTGTGCGTCTGGTCCCTGCCCGCCCCTCGGCGTGCAGGCTCGTGGTGCTTGTGGCGTTTCGTCCGCGGGCATCAGTGCCCTTCTGGCTGGCTGTCCCTTCTGGCCGCGCAGGCACGGTGTGCCCAGCTCGTGGCGGGTCGGGCCGGTACTGGATTGGCCTCTTCCTTCTGTCCCTCTTGTCCTGGTCCTCCTCCTCCTCCTCCTCCTCCTCCTCACCGCCCGGTGTGTCGTGCCTTTCGTCCAGTGGCCCAGGCCACACGTGCCTCGGCTGTCTGGTCGACGGAGTTCCCCTGCAGGCGGTCCTGGCTCCTCGTGGTTGGCCCGCTCGTCGGTGCCACACGTGATGTTGAGTCGGGCCTGTCCCTCTACAGGAGGAAATTCAACATGTTGTTTTGTTTTTGATTTTTCTTACTATTTTTCTTTTGTTTTCTATTTCTTGCATGTTTGGCCTTTGTTTGACTACTTTTCAATTTGTTCTGCCAAAATCCGCCTGTAGGGGGACATGCCCGACCCAAATGTAGTGCTGTTTGCTCGCTTTCCACGAACACTGCGCGCGGCGCGTCGCACGTGCAGCATGCGCGCCAGGCAGCCCTGGTGCCGCACCTCTTCGCTCGGGGCTTCGAGGCTCATGGGGGAGATGGTGTACGCGAGCAGTCTGCTGCTCGCGTCTTTTGATGAGCACGTGTGCCCTCGTTGTTAGGGCGATGCCGAAACACGAACATCTTGGGGCCGTCCTGTGCATTCGAGGGGCCCGCTTGGGGCTCTCGGTGGGCTCCTGTGGGCCTTCGGAGACCTTAAATGGATCCATCTTCGACCCAAGAGCATGGGAAATGAAGCACATTCAACAACAACAGTAACATGATGATTCTGGCATCTCGAGGCCCTCCTGGAGAGCGTCTTTGGGGTGTATTGGAGCATATCGTCGGCCTCTTGGGACCTATGACATCGAGGCGTTTCCGAGGGGCCTGCTGGGCGCTTGTTGAGGCGATGTTCATGAACATTGGCGGAATTGGTTGCCTCCCTGGGCCGTCTGGGAAGCCTTGGAACACCGAGCGGAGTCAAATGCGGGGTGCGAACGACGCGCCCGCGCCCCGATGCCGCTTGGGCTCAGGCGACGTCGCTCTACGTGACTGCCCCGTACGTGAGGTACTACGACATCCGAGTAACGGAAAAAGGAGACGTCCACTTCATTCGACGATGCACCCATTATTCCCACGCTTCATGTCTCGCCTACCCGCTCATGTATTTCCTGCGTGGACCAGTCCTGGAGAGTGCGGGGGCTGGGGCGGGCGGAGGGGCCTTAGGATGCTGGTTATCGCGCTCTTTTGGCCCAGGTCCTCTCCTCCGGATTTCGTGGGGGAGAGTAAGGGATCCTTTGGCATACCGAAGCTAGAATTAGTGGTTGGGGTTTGTGCCCCCCGTCGTTCCCCACCCAGGGGAGGCTTATTTGTTGTTTCTACAAACCTGCTCGTGTTTGTAAGGGTCCGATGTGTCTCGTCTAAGGCTGGGTGTGATGTTTTCCAGGTCTGGAATCGGTGGGGCGTGACCCGTGGTCTCCTGTATGGTCTCCCGTAGGTTTTGCCGTATCGGTTTCCATCTGGTATCCTATGTGTGCCCGCACGGTATCAAGTTTGGCTTCCCGTTTGTATCGTCTCTTCTTCATTTGTTCACCCGTGTGGCTTCCACTTGTCATGATGGGTTATGTTATGGCCTTCCCTTCGTTGTCTCCTTCATTGTCTTCTTCATATGTTCGTTCCAATAGAACCCTCCTGCGTTGCCGTTCACTTGCTTCAATGCTCTTTATGGTGGGGGGATGGCCGGGGTGGGTGGCGCGGGGTACTGAGCCGTCACTTCCTCGACCACAAGAGGGCCGGCTGGCTCGCTCTCTCGCTCGCTCGCCTCCTCCTTTTCCTCCTTTTCGTCCTCCTCTTCCTCCTCCTCCTCCTCCTCCTCCTCCTTCTCCCCTCCTCCTCCTCCTCCTCCTCCTCCTCCTCCTCCTCCTCCTCCGTCCCCTCCTCCTCCTCCTCCTCCTCCTCCTCCTCCTCCTCCTGCTCCTTTTTCTCCTCGTCCTCCTCCTCCCCCATCTTGCCCCCGCCCCCCCCCCGGGTGCACAGCGGGCGCCCGACCCCTCACTGGAGGGGCGGCGGCCGGCGCGGGTGCCGCCAGGTGTCTTTCCCAACGGACAACAGCGGCCGCTTGAGGAGCATGGAGGTGCGAGCGGGTCGGGGCTTGCCTCTCGCGGGGGGGGCGGGGGCCGACACGGGGGGTGCTGGGAGGGGGGGGGGCATGGGTCCAGGCCTCTTAGATGGAGTCGGAGTAGGTGGGGTCGGAGGATCGAGCCGCATCGCCGATGCATCGGCGATGCGGTTTGGTGCGGGGCCCGATTTTCCCCACACCGACGTCACCGATGCATCGCCGATTTCGCCAGCGCATCGCCAATGCATCGCCGATGCATCGCCGATGCATCGGCGATGTGGCGCGATCTTTCAACCCCATGTATTCGGACCCCATCCAGGAGGCCTATCACAAAGGGGTGATCGGGGGGGAGGGGGGCGTGGGGGTGGAACCCCCGCACCCCCCCCTGCTCCTCATCCCCCTCCGCCATGCCTCCTGCTCCTCCTCCCTCCTCAATCCTCCTCCCGCCTCCCCTTCCCCTTCCCTGCGGCAGACGCTGCGAGCGACGGAATTCCCACGGTGAGCATTTCGAGGTCTTCATTGGCAAGCGAGTTGGAGTTATTAGGGTCCTCCCCTCCTGCGGGGCACCTCTTGAGCCAAGACTTCAGATGATTTTCCCTTGTTGCTCCCTTGAGGGCCTGCCTGCCATCGTCTTCCGCCTCTCCTCTTGCGGAAGTCACGGATGGCCATCGAAGACATCACCGACACTTCCCAGAAACCAGTCGGCCACGACTAGGGCCCAGCCCTACGAGGCTGCGTCCGGTGCTGCAGGCCGCTCCCCCCCTCTTCTCCGCTCGGGAGTTGCTCAAGGTGCCCCTGGCCCACTGTCGCCCCCAGCATCCCGCTCCAGATTGGACTCCATGTGGCCCCTCTGGGCCTCGTGAGCGGTGCTCGATCATCGTCGATCATCCTCGATAATCCTCGTGAAGGCCGGGGGGGCCTCGAAAATCCTGGGGGCACCGTGGGCCAGGGGAACTTCTGGTAACACCCGATCCGTGTGCACCGCGCGCCGCGGGGCAATGCGGACACGGGGCCCTTCCTGCGGGACGGACTCCGCGTGGGAGGCGGAAGGACCGAGAGGGGGGAGAAAAGGAGAACAGTTCGGGGGAGGAAGGAGGGAAAAAGGAGGGAGAGAACAGTTCGAGGCGGGAATGTACCCCAGAACCAACCCCTGGGGGATCGACCTTGCGGACATCCACAGGCGGTGGATATGGTATAGTCGGGCCCCCGGGGGCCAACATATCTCCATATCCACCGTCCGCTGGGGCACTAGGACGTTGGATTTTAGGTGGTGGATATGGATAAATCCCCGGGCTGCGAAAAGTTCGGGGGAGAAGGATGGCCGAAGAGCCACAAGCGGCATCAATCTGATTTCGAGGAGCTCCGCGCGGATTTCTTGGGTCGGCGCTGGGGCACCTGGCGGCGCCTCGGGCGCCGCCCCTGGCCCCTGGCGCGCTCCGCGCGCCAGGGCGCCAGGGAGAGGGTCCAGCGCCGATGAGAGAAAGCCGAGCGGACCTCCCAGAAATGATGTTTATAGGAGAGAGAAAGGGAGGGTTGCGTAGATCCGAAGGTGGAGCTCCTCGTGGGGCACAGCGTGTGAGGGGTGCGTCGAAGTCCGCGGGGGGAGCGGCATCCGGCCGTTGTCTCCGGGGGCCGCTGGTGGAGCCCCATGCGGGGCACGGCGCGTGCGCGGGGTGCGCTGAACTCCGCGCGGGGGGCCAGCATGCGCGCCCGGTCTCCGAGGCCACAGGTGGAGAGCTTCTCGCGGTGCACGGCCCAGGTGAAGGGCGGCCCGAGGTGGTCGCGGAGACGCCGTGCGATCCCGCTCGTGCCGTGGGTGGAGCCGTCTGTGGGCCACGGCACTCGGGAGGGATGCGCCGGCACTCGGGGGCGGCAGTGGAACGTTTGCTGTCGGGCGGCGGGTGGAGTTGCGCACGTGCAACGGATCGTGTGAGGCGTGTGCCAACATGGGCGACGGCCAGGAGATGAAAAGGAGGAGGTAGGATAGAGAGGAGGAATAAGTCGGGCTGGGCTAAGACGAGGATAAGTCCGTTCCAGAGCGTTCCAGAGCGTTCCAGAACGCTCTCAGAGCGTTCCGGACCGCTCTGCGAGGGCCGCGGTGCCCGGGACATCCTCCAGAGCCGCCAGATTTCAGAGATTCTCGATTTACCCTCACCCGAGTTGATCCTCGTTTTGGTTTTGTCTTAAGAAGAGAAGGCGTAGGAGGACTAGTGTAAGCCGAAGATGCATCAACGATGTTGCAATGAACAGTAAACCCTCGTTCCCAAGTTCACCATTCACATGGTAATGATTTTTTGCCATTGTGGGAAGTGCGTCATGGGAAGGCAACCGTCTGAGAATACTCAACCATTCCGAAACACACGTATCTTGGGATTCCATCGCAGCGAGTCAATTTGACTGTTGCGCCCCGACAGTCTCAAAACGTACCAGAACACCATTCCGTGACATCAACACCGCGAATCAACGTGAATGTTGCGTCCTGACAATCCTGAATCGCGCCAGAACGCCAATCCTGGGACTTCAGCCATATGAATCAAGACGGAAGTGCGCGACGCTGCAGCGAGAGCCACACGTTGAAAAAGGAAGGACCCTCCCTCCACCCGTGAAATTGCTGCAAATTTTTAAGACGAATGTGCGCGGCGCTAAAGGCTAGAGCCACATGTTGAGAACAATTCGCCCTCCATCAGTGAAATTGTGACAATTTGTTCAGATGGACGCGCGCGGCCTTAGGGCGAGAGCCACATTGTGAAAACGAGCCGCCCTTCTTCCGTGAATATGTTGCGATCTTATAAGACGTATGAATGCGGCGCTAAGGAGAGAGCCGTATTTTGAAAGCACTTCGCCGTCCATCCGTGAAATTGTTGCAAATTTTAAGACGAATGGATGTGGCGACAAGGCGAAAGCCACATGTTTAAATCAACACGCCCTCAATTTTGAAATTACTGCAAACCCCACCGAATGGGCGCGGTGCTGAGGCGAGAACCACATTTTGAAAGCAACCCGCCCTCGATTCGTGAAACTGTTTCAAGCTTTTGAGACGGATGTGTCAGACAAGAGCCGCATTTCGAACGCAGCTCGCACTCCGTCCGTGAAATTCCTGCAAGCGTGTAAGACGAATAGGCGCTGCTCTGAGGCGAGAGCCACACTTTGAAAACAACCCGCCCTCCACCCGTGAAATTGCTCCACACTTTGAAGGCGAATATGCGCAGCGCTAAGACGAGAGCCACATTTGAAACCACGCGCCTTCTATCCGTGAAAATGTTGCAAATTTCAAGCTTTAGGATCATCAGTGGTGGGGAAGTCTCAGGTAAAACGCCCGGCCCACCCTACCGACACGACTGGGCATGCGACGCGGAGGCGTTATCCAGAAGGAGAAGGGATGGAGGAGCGGAGGCGGGAAGGGAAGAAGGAGACGCGCTGCGCTGCGTATCCAACGCGATCACCCAACCTTGCACGAGGCGTGGAAGTTCAATGTGTCCCCCGAACCCCCGATGACCCCTCCTCTTCCCGTCCTCCCTCCCTTCCCCCCTCGCTCCGCTTCGCGAGCCGAGCGCCGCTGCGAGCCCGCAGTGCGGCCAGGGGGGGCGCCCGCGGGTCGGGGGCCGGGCGCAGGTGCAGCTGTCGCAGGCGGGCAGCCCGTGCGAGGTGTCCGCCTCGAACGACCAGTGCGCCCCGCGCCGCCAGCGGGAGGGGCCGGGGCACCCCCCTCGGACCTCGGGCACGGCGGGGGTCTGCGTCGTGCCCGCGTGGCGGCGACCCCAACGCGGTCGTGCAAAGTTGGGTGCCGCCCTTCTTCCTCCTCCTCCTCCTCCTCGTCATCCTCCTCGTCCTCCTCCTCCTCCTCCTCGTCCTCCCCCTCCTCGTCCTCATCCTTCCTCTCCTCATTCTCCTCCTCGTCCTCCTCCTCGTCCTCCTCCTCGTCCTCCTCCTCCTCCTCGTCCTCCTCCTCCTCGTCCTCCTCCTCCTCCTCGTCCTCAAGGCATGTGGGTCAAGAACGCCGCAGATGTTCGGTCGTCAGGAACCCGCACTAACCACTCTCTCCATGCCTCCGCACTGGGGCATCCCCACGCATCTGACACATGTTGATGGCGTCGAGATGACACGGTGAGGGCTGCTGGCTCCAGCTCGTCTCATGGCTGGACGTCGGCTCCGCGTGCTCCAGTACAACCATATGCACGCAGCAAGTGGGAAGAGATTGGCGTCGATTGTTCAAGCATGCCGAGCCTATGGCTTTACTTGCTTGAATGGGGCTGCGGCCGACAGATTCGGCAGTGAGAAGGCTTGGGGCCCGCGATGGCGACGAGCTGGCGATCACAACTGGTGCATCGAGAGTGGTTGGTGGCGTGGGCCCTACACCAACCAGAGTGCAGGCTGCAGCATCGTGCTTGGAGAAAAGGTTCGGAGGAATTCTATCACGCACACTTGGGTACCTCCTGCGGCTGTCGCTGGACGTGGTCCGGCGCTTCGTGGGAGGTGTTCTTCCTACGACATTGGTGCTTGCTCGGTTTATTTTCCACCGCCACCGACCAAGGGCGGTTTCGACGTCTACAAGCGGACTTGCGATGTGTTGCTCGACTGGCTTCGGACGTTGCCCTACCTCTCCACCAAGAGCGTGCTCCAGATCTTGTGTATCGATCTAAAATCGGGGCTCGGTCTACAACAGCTGGATGGCGACCCTACATGGCAGTCTTTCGACTCCGAAGTGTTTGGCCCATCTACTTCCGACAAGCAGCGCTACGCAGCGGATTGCCTTGTACCGTTCATGGAGGAACTCGGGATGGTTGCGGTCGACGATACATCGTGAGCGGCCTTACTTACTTCGGCAGTAACAGTTCGTTTCAGATCGATTTCCCACTCCTGCCCAAGACCCTCTTGGGCGACGCGTGCACTGCTGGGCCGCCCAGGCGTCTTGGACGTGACTTGCAGGTCACCGCGGCACGATGCCATCTACCTGTCCACGCGTGCCTGGATCATTCAATTGGTAATACTACCGGCTCTAATTTACACTGCAGCATGGATGAATACCTTCGGCTTGGTTATGTTTCCCGCACCGTCCACTGGAACCGCGAGACGTTGACGCAGAGTCTTCGAAGCGGCCTCGGACGCGCAGATTTCTTGATTGAGCTGGGGATTGATGTGCGCGAGCAGGCGTCGAAGTGGCAGACCGCCCAGGCAGAGGAGCAGACGCCTAACGCGGATTTTTTTGCATGGACGCATTTCTCACTTTTGGAGCCAAGCACTTCGCACGATCTCCAGAATATCGCCCTGGCTACAAGACCCTTGCGCAGACCATTCAACCTCTTCTCGACCGGCAGCGTGGGCTACGACGGCAGTTGGGGTCTTTTCCTCGCGGGCCGTCCTGCGGGGCTGTTGGCCGCCCTGTGCGTGCACTGCCGCCTGGGGCTTCACAGTGGACGGGGCCATCGGCTGTTTCTCGCGGGCGGTCTTTCGGGGCTGCTGGCCGCCATGCTATCCCACAGGCGACGCCTGATATGGAACCAGAGGTTTCGGCAGTGCATCGGCAGTTGAAGGAGCACGCAATATGGCTGCGCGCTGCTCGACGACGGTGCTGGAAGCAGCGGAGGCACGACGCGGTTGACGAATTGAGCGACGCTCGGCGCAACGGTCGCACAATTGAAGTTGCTCAACTCTCCGGAGTTCTGGCTGGCGCGCGCATCGGCCCACGTATGCGCGACTACAGGCGTGCGCCAGTTGCCCTTTTCACAAGCGGCGAGCTAGCTGAACGATGGGCGTTCTCTGCTGGGCAGGGAGGCGCGGCTGCGGCCGATATCTACTGGGTTGCGAAGACCGAGGAGCACGCGTGTGGCGATATCGCTGTGCACGAAGCGCATCCGATCATCGCGCCTTGGACGTCCGATGGGGATCTCGTGGGCCAAGTCTCGTATTCGGGAGATGCGGTCTTTTCTGAGACGCGCACCTAAAAGGCGTGCTTGCCCCCAGTGGTCGGCGCCGCTAGAGATCTGGTGGCTGATATTTCGCCCATGCAGGCGAGTCTCAAGGTGGTGTCACGGCGTCAGCTACGAATCCCCTTCCATTGATTTGGAGTTCGCATTGCGCTTTCTGGTGATATCAATGCATCGGATTCACCGCTGTGGTCAAGTACCTCTAGTCTGGCACCTCAGCCGAGGAGATGCTCTGAGCTGGAAGCGAGTCGCTCGCCTGCTGGACCTTTTCGGCATGGGCTTCATGGCCGCGGCGCTCTTCCGCGCCGAGCAAATGCGCGAGCCGCTCTTCGCGCGCGGTTGCACTCCTCCCCGACGACCCGAGACGGCAGTTCTTGGCCAGCAGCGTTGCACATGGCAGTTGGGGAAATTGGGCATCGACCACCACGCAGTTTTGACATGTACAGCCAAACCATTCGCCTCCACGGACTGGGGCAGATTAGGGGGGGCCAACGCCGGCATCGTGCGTAACGGGCGCGCGCTGCGTGGCAGGAAGAGGTTTCGCTTTGCGGCCGTCTTGCTTGGCGACGCGCGCGCCCGCCCCAGCGTCGGGGCCCTCGCTGGCCATCCTTGGGCGGTCGAGGGCTTTGCGCGCGACATCTGCGCAGTCTTCGAAGCCGTTCGCAGCCGCGACTGCGTTCTCAACCCGACCAAGAACGCGGGCCCCGCCTCGTTCCTGGGCCAGGGCGTGCGCTCTCGGCGCCGAGGGGCGATTGAAACGAAAGGTCTTTCTAGCTGGGGGCCCCGCGGGTTCTACGCGGCACCTCGGGGGTCAACGTATGGGGTGTTGTTCGTTCCGAGCAGAGGTGGCTTCCAGGCTTGCTGCGATTCCTGTTGGTATTTCTACACCGGGGAAATCTTGCCACCCCCTCGCGCCCCCTGCAACGAGCGGCGCGCAGCGTTCCGAGCGAATGCTTTCAGCCCGGCGCGTTCGGCGAGCGAGGCTTTCCCCGCCGTCTAGGGCCCAGGGGGACAAGCCCACAGATCGGGCGGTCGTCTTTGGGCGACGGGCGGCGCTTGGTGCTGCTACCAACTGGGGGGGGGGGCTCATCCTCGAACCTTGTATTCGGTGGAAGTGTTGAGATATTGGACATCGGAAGATCCCCCCGCTCGACGTCGGGCATCGCGTTCAACGGCTGCGCCGGCATCAGAAGTGGGCGATCAACCCTGGGATGCATCTCATTGAATGGGCCCCGCTTTTCGGTGGCATGAAGATCGAGCGCGACAGGGGCATTTCCACCCTGGACTCTGATGGCCACCTGCTTCCTGGAGCTAATCCTCGGGCCACTCAGTATGTCAGGGACTTCGAGGAGCTTCGGGGGATCGCAGAAAAAAAAACGTGGAGTCTATGGAGTCTTGGGGCGGGGCCCCGCTGGCGTCTCTTGAGGGTGGGGGCTGAAGGGGCTGGTTCGCGGAGCTCGATCTCTCCGTTGTCAGGCCTCTTGGCTCTTTGCGCGGGCCCCGCCTCCAGGCGCCGCCCCCCGGCGCCGGGCCCCCGCGGCCCCGTCGCCGGCAGATCAGGCGGGGGGATTTCGCTGCGGCGTCGACGGTTGTCCAGCATAGTTTTTACTGAGCGGCAGCGGCTGGTTCGCGCTCGGAATTCACGTGGTTTCAGGACTCTCTTGGCCGAGGTAGTTCAAGGGATTTCGCGCTTCATGTGTGGCGATATCATTGCAGCCAGAAGCTTGGCCTACAACCATATTTTGGATTCGTTTGCTTCTGGTTTCTGCCGACGGCAGCTCAGCGCCACCCTCGATCGCGATGTTCCTGCTGGCCCTTTCTTCCGCGCGCTGTACGGGGCTCAAGTTTCCGACGGGCCCGCCTTCCAAATCCATTCCCGCCCGCAGTTCGAGGACTTGTCGCTAGCGTTTCCCCGCGGTGGCGGAGATGGCAGAGCCTGCGCGGGCCGCCCGGGGCGGCGAGCGCAATGGGGGGGGCTGGCGCAGAAGAGGAAGAGAGAGAAGAGACAAAGAGAGAGAGAGAGAGAGAGAGAGAGAGAGAGAAAGAGAGACAAGGGATAAACATAGAGAGAGGGAAAGAAGAGCCTTGCTTTTTTTTAAATAGCGCCCGGGCGCGCCACGTGACAAATAATCAAGAGAGAGAGAGAGAGAGAGGCACGCAGAGATATAGATAGATAGAGAGAGAGAGAGAGAGAGAGAGAGAGAGAGAGAGAGAGGGAGCGAAAGCGGCGAAGCTGCTCGAGAGTCTCGGGGTGGAGGCGGCCTCCAAGCAGAAGGGGGGGCAAAAGGGGGGCCCTGGCGGCGCTGCTGCTGGTGCCCGCGCGCCTCACACTCGCAAGCGCGCGCGCGATTCGGCAGAGGTGGCCCACGGCGGCCGCAGGCGTCGGATTTGCGCAGCGTCTCCCCCTCCTCCTCTTCCTCCTCCTCTGCCTCCCCCTCCTCCTCCTCCTCCTCCTCCTCCTCCTCCTCCTCCTCCTCTGCCTCCCCCTCCTCCTCCTCACGGGCCGCAAGTGCGCGGGGAATTGCAAGGCGGGCGGCAAAGACCATCAGCGCGGCCTGCCGTGGCCGCACGCGCTCGAAGCGTTTATGACATGGGCCTGCACGGGCGGGGCGACGACGACTCTCCAGCGCCAGCCGAGGCCCTCTTCGAGGACTATCGGAAGACGACAGTACTGGGGCCAGATGCCCCCCCAGACGCCGCGGGTGCACTGCCGGCACCTCCGCGCATCCAGAAAGGCATGA